ACAAAATGGCTTATTTTTTTTCGAACTTCCGATGCTTAGAACATTTTAGAGCCACAGGAGTTTTCTGGAAAACCAGTTTTTTTGTGAAACTTTTGGAACAAGTTCAAAAGAAATTTTAACTATCGATAGAATTTAGAATTTCTTTAACTATTAATAGAATTAAATGTCTTTTCAATTTGGTCCAAAAAAAAACTGGTTTTCCAGAAAACTCCTGTGGCTCTAAAATGTTCTAAGCATCGGAAGTTCGAAAAAAAATAAGCCATTTTGTAGAGGATCGAATGCTCTGTGAATCCCCATAGTTTTGAATTTTTTATCGAGAAAATGTCTAGGTAAGGAAATTAACATTACAAAATTTTAAAGCTTAAAATTTAAATTTTTACGTTGAACTTTTAATTTTATAAATTTTAAACTTGATTTTCGTGGTCCGCGTGAAAAACTGCATCTAGTGATGTGCCTTTCGATTTAATTAGATAGAAAATTGTTTTTGAAAAATCAATAGCCCCAGTTCTCAACAGTTCCAGTTTTGACAGTTAAAAACTGGAACTGGTGCACACCTACCACCGAGTCGGTTCTTTACGAAATGTTTTTAGAATTCTGAAAAAGTAGAAGTATTATGCTCCTATTCAATATATTATAAAATAATTTCTAAGCAAACTTAGACTGGGTTCCAAATCTTTGCTCGCTCAGCTCAAAATTTCGACCTGGACGATTCACATACTAAACTTGAGTTCAAGAAGATCATACATCTGATACATGAAGATTTTTAGAAAAAAACTATGTGAATAACCGATCTAACTTCACAAAGCTTTGTATACTTTCTGAATAGTTGGATCTTGTTTAGACTGGGAATGTCAACCTAGCATTGGTTCTAGCGATAAAAATCTTTGATTGACTGTTTATATCGATGCTATGTGAGTGCTCTTAAATATTTATTTACTCACTCTTTCAGGCGAGCATCCATGTTCAGCTAATGGACAAAACTCAACTAATCCTCCACATCCATTCTTTTGATGATCGTTAAGTGAATTAATGCTGGTGAAAAGTGCATTGCAAAAGTTACGTTGATTCCTCGTTTGATGGCATTCATTGATGTGAGCCTTTAATAAACAGAAAATTAACGCCATAGAAATAATGCAACAGTTGTCTTACTTGATAGTCTCCTAGTTTGCCAGACCATTCACAACCATTACTTTTTCTTATGCAAACAAGTGGTAGCAAACACATTTCTTTGCCATAACCGCGATCCAACAACAGCTTAAAAGACCATTACAGCATAGTGAATATTAAAAGAGTCCTAACAACCGCACACCTTATCACTTGGTGTAATGTCGTGACAAATTGGACAAATAATTCTATAAACTAGAGAAACATAGCTAGCAGTAAAAGATCAAAGTCGAACATACTCTGATTGTGTGGGTACACATGACTGACATAATCTATGTCCACAGTTGCTGAGTTGAACAGGTTCTCGTAGGACCAAGTTGCATTGAGAACAAATAAATTTTTGATCTACAGACCCTTTGTTGTAGACGGGATAGCCATTGACGTCGGTGAAAGCATTAAATTCCGAATGTGGATTCTCTAAAAAAAAAGCGTACAAATAAACTTATTTTATAGTTGCTTGTCAGTTACGGAAAAACCGACACTAGAATCTGAACTGGTCCTTCCTACGCGTCCAGCCTGTCTATCGAATGCAAGCTCTTGTCCACTAGTCGTAATAATCTAACGTGGTTTACACAGAATTATGGCAATGTATTCTAGATACATCAAGGTGCCCATTAGTAATATGGATGACCCTCTCTAAACGTAGAATCAGCAAATTATTCTGGTGATTTCTGACATATATATTTTTCAATTGTGTTTAGAGAAAAGTTACCGAAAGGTAATCTGGAGAGCTACAGTCGAAAGAAGAGTTGGTATAAACTTTCAAGGTTTCGGCTTAACTAATAAGCGGTTATAAAACAAAGTTGAGTTCAAAATTCTCAAAAATCAACAAACGGTTACCACTAGTTACCGGTCAAATTTAGTATCTTGTTTTCAACGTGTTGGTTGAGTTCGGAGAAACAGTCTTTTAATGCTTGATGGTTAGATTGTTGAATATAGTTTGTGCCTATCTCACTAAGTAAAACAGCTTTCAAACTCTGTTCTTGAAATAATCGACGAACTTTTGAATGTTTAATATCATTTAACCGTTGCCAAAGAATATCATTAGTGCTTCCTGTTCGATAAATGCATACTTTCGAAATTTGAGTATGGACTTCTGACTCTTCCATAGTTTCCAGAATATCATGATCGGCAGGTATAAATATTTGAATCCGAACATTTTTCATAGATAATAGGCGTTGTTTACAAGAACATGTGTCATTAAAATGTATAACAAACAGAGGGTGACAATTAATAATACCATTCAATGAATAAACGTACATTAAACAAACGGTCCCAGATGTCATCGTCAAAATATCTGCGATACATGGGGCTGGATCACAATTATTCTGAGAGCAATCTTTGATTCTATATATGGGTTGCAATTAGAATGAGACCAGGTATTACTTACCGCTGTTTACATTCCCCAAAATAAAAATGCATCCTTTCCTTTCAGCACAGACTAAAATTTTTTGGAATGTCTTCTGTTATGTCAGTCGCCACTGACATTCTTTCCTCTTCCTCTTTTCTGTTCTGATGACAACAAAGAATGTTGACTCAGTCAACATTCTTTCTTCATCTGTTTTCATCTCTCATTACCACCAAGAATGTTGACTCAACCAGAACTGAGTCAACATTCTTTCTTAATATATATATACAGTGTTTGTTTGTACAGAGGGAAGTTTTTTGGTTTTAACGTTCTCTGATTTTATTCTTACGAATAAAGTTTGTGCGGGCTAACAACTGGTGCACTAGCCGGCTTACTGTCAATTCAACATCACAGTAAGTGCAAGCAATCCAAATAACCCTGTTACTTTATCTTTCTGTTACTTTATCTCGTTATTGACAAATGAAGTGTTTTTGGTAAGTACCAGCTTGCTTTTACTTATCTCGTGGTTTTTTCCAACATAAATAAAGATGAAACATACTCATGTACTTCCTTTTTACTTTTTTTCTTTCTCTATATACATTTCGGACGTGTGCTTACCAACTCATTCGCTCTTTTCGATTTGGGAAGTAAAACAATTAACGGCCCCCATAGGTTGACTTGAGTCATAAAGGGTAACCCCCCTCTTTTTTGTAAAAGCACTTCATTTTGACCTGAACGTGGTCTAATGAAGAGGAAAGCTTGGGCTATAAAATGAGACCAGCTCTTCTTGAAAAAATTGTGAAGCTTTCAAGTTTTCCCTTCGAAGCCTAGAAAATCTCAATTTTTTAGTTTCTTAAATTTGTCTCTCCTTTTTTACAGTGTAAAAAAATACTTTTCACTTGGACTGAATAAAGCATTTACTTGTAGTGTTTAATTTACGCGCCTTAAGTGTATATTGCGGTCAAATTTTTGTCCCCGTACTTGTCATGTGCAGTACATCCACTTTCCAGCTACTGTATCCATGCATTTACTTTTGCTGTAAGTGTAATATAAATTGCACCGCTTATTCATCGGTTATTCACTAGGGGCCATGTACATGAATTTGTATCATTCATTTGAAGAAGAAATGAATAAAATGGTTTGAATGTCATTTGCTTGCCATTCACATGCATTTCAGTGTACTCAATAGAAATTATAAAGTAATAACAGAAGTACAAAAAGAAAAGACTATTTTCGTCATCTGCGAATGTGTGTTTAAAAGAAGAAAATGAAGGATGAAAGCTTGCTTTTCATTGGAACATCGAGATAGCAATAGAAGCAACATTAAATTATTCCTAAATGTTTTTTGATTTATATAACATGTCAGTGTTCATTATGGTTTATCCCGTCTTCCGTGTATCATACTTATCGGCTCGGATAAAATGAATCATTTTTGGAACCTAAACTTCTCTAATTAAATAACGTTTCGAAGTTTCGATTTATAATCAAAACATTCAGAATTTAATTCTTTACCAAACTGCTTAACATTTAAAGTATTAGAGTACCTCACCTCTCAAAACTGTTCCCATCTGTCCAGGGATCATTTTGCGAGGATAAGCAGTATGAACTATAGCAAAATACATCAGTATACTTCATATCTATTCTTTCCTCAGAAAAAAGGCAGGAAAGAGAAAGTGCCACCCCTAAGAAAATTCACTGTATTAAACGCTGTATAAAATACTTAATTTTAGGACGTCTAGGAAAATGCCTGCAACTTTTTGATGCCAGGCCACAAAGAGCTGTGCGAGGTCTTATTTGATCAGAAACGTTTGCTCTACAAATATATATGTTCAAAAATGTCTTAATTGCATAAGTACTCAGGAAAAAACTATTATATGAAGATTAAGGCTCCTAGAAAACTTGCTTAAAATCCGCGAAAAACCACTTGTGTAATCAAAAGCGATACAGATTCTAACAGTAGGCACTTCGGACTATCCTTCCATGTGCGTATCTCAAAACCGATATTTGACCAGAAATTACCAATTAGGAGGAGGGAAGGCTCTTAATTGGTTTGCTATCTTAAGTAATTTAACCTAAATAATTAACCTTTGTTATTTGTTCAAATTCTTCAATTGTTGTTTCATCAAATGTTTTAGCAAAAAATATAGCAGTATTGTTAATTAATATTGTTATTGGTCCTTGTTGTTTACAAGCTTTTTGTATTGTTTGCTCTACATTATCATAAGACGAGCCAATATCAACAGATAAACAGCATAAACGGCCACTACATTCAATGATATATGGTTGTAATTCTTTCTCACATTCATCTAAACGTTGCTGATTACGTGCTAATATTGTTACATTGGCACCTTGTTTCAATAGTAATTTCACTAATGAATAGCCAGTATCAAGGCTACCACCAGTTACAATAACATGTGCGTTTCGTAAGTCAGTCAATGACAATGGCTCATAAAATGGACAAAATACATAGTAATAAAGAAAATCAACTATAAAAACCAACAATGCTAATGATAATAACAAGAAGTACAGAATCATCATTCAGTGCAACTAGCTGTACAGGCGCAAATCCTCTCAGCTGTGGCACGGTGAATATAGTAACCACATACTCTAAATCAAGTACAATGCACAATGCTTATATATTAAAAGCAGCAATATAGTGTGACGTAGAAGGTTAGAAATGTTCTATTATGTATACCATTTTGAACAGGTGATTAAAAGTATTTAGTTACCATATTCACCGTGTTACAGCTGGGAGGATTTGTGTCTGTACAGCTAGTTGCATTGAATGATGATTCTGCACTTCTTGTTCTTCAACGATTTCTTTTCGACAATGAATCAAACATCACTTCACCACAGCATTGTTACATTACATTGTGCCTCTCTAAACATATGCTGGATTGAAAGACGGTGAGTGACTCTACAGCCTTGGTGACTGGCGTTTTCTTTCGTGGTCGGTCTAGTGGTTCTCTTGAAAGCATAAGAACTTCAACGATTTCCTTGTGCTTGTGGTCAACGTTTCAGAGTGGTGTTATTGTGATTCATTGAAGGAGTTAGAAGTATTAATTCTTTTAGAGTATCTTTATTAAATACTTTAATTTCGTAACCATTTGAAGTCAACTCCTGGACAGAACCAATAACCAACACTATTGCTAGCCATACCGTTAATAACAGCTGAATGGTCGAAACAATGCCGAGAGAACAAAAAGAAACAAGGTTTGCATGAAATAATGAAACGAGAAGAAACGTCAGAGAAAATGAATTCAACGTATTCAAATGACACTACCACAATTACATGTGTTATGTATACAAGAATATAAATGTGATATAAATAATTTCGGTATAACATACATAATATCACTATCCGATATATCCCTTGTATATTAGAAGTAAATGTCAACGTATGGATATGTATACATTTTTGGAGTGGTTACTAAATGGAAATTCAAATTTTTTTCTAGAACAATTTCAACAGATTTTTTTATAAGATAGAATAGCTATTTCCAAATTTTTTATATGATGATAAACATCGCCAGAACAATAATATACTATAGTTAAAGGATCATAATTCATTTGATCAATTTCAATATCTCTTAATAAAATAAGGCTAATTCAAATTTATTCGTTTTATGGTAATACAATGCTATGTGGATCTCTCAAACTGAGATTCTTCAAAATGAGAACTCTTAATTATTTGTTGAAATAACCCATTTTCCCCTATTTTTGAGTAAAATTAAAAAATTCATAACCCAGTGAAGATGCATCCAAATTATGTCAGAATATCAAGATGTACTCTGTTTTATCTGCTGAATACTATGCAGTTCGATAAACGCTTCATAAACAAATACAAAAGATTTTGGTTTTAGTAAAGGTTTTCTAGACATCTTCCGAACTACAAACGTGTTCCTTACTATTCTCCAGTAAATAATCGTACTGAGCAGGTAAAATAGAGTAGATCTTGATATTCTGACATAAAATTTGAACGAATCTTCAGTGGTTTATGAATGTTTTAATTTCATTCAAAAACAGGGAAAAGTAGGTTATTTCTAGGGGTGTTAATTTAGTGTTACTTTACAAAATAAAGATAAATGAATCCTTTATTTTTAAAAAATAAAGACAAATAAATAAAAAAAGATTTATTATTTATAAAATAAAGATAAATGGATCATTTATCTTTATATTTTAAATAATAAATGATTCTTCATTTCTTTATCGTTATTTATAAATGATTCATTTATATTTATCTATTATTAGAACTGAACAATAAAACTAAATTAACACTCCTAGTTATTTCAACTAATATAGATTTTCACTAGATTTCTAGAACTTATTTGAATAACAAATGTTACCACGAGACTCAGCGTGATCGATTACTATGTTTCCATTGCTTTTCGGAATTACCACACCTAAAGAATTATCGGTCCTGGAACTTTCAAGAAACCCGATGCCAGACCTGGACCAGGAAAAATTAAGAGTTCGCTTAGTTTCCATTTTAGAGAAGACCCTTTCGACTATCTATGTATAGGAAAAAAACGGATAGATTCCTGTCTCAGGTTGCAGAGATTCGAGCAGATTTTTCAAAGTTCCTCCTGAAAGATCCCCAATGAAAACTACTGTTTTTTCTGCCATATTTCGATGTGCTTCGGACTTGATTACAAGTCGGCGAAATTGTTTCTCGCAATTTATCTCTTCGCATTGCCGAGTTATTTGAAGAGGCACTCGGGTATCTTATTTTTTGAATTCGATAACAGAAATATTTTAAGTAATGCTATCTAGAGTTATATTTACATCTGATAAAATGCGAATGTTACTGGATTAGGACACAACTGCTGTCGGAATTTGTATTAAATAGTTATAGTTAATCATCCTTTATCGATTCTCTTGTACAATCAGCGTATGCTGAAGTATTCATATGGAAAGAAAGCAGTCAAACAAATATTTTTTGCGGAATAAAGAAAGAAGATATCGGTAAAATTATACATAGATGCTGAGTATCACGGGATTTTTTCGCATTTTGAAAATACAGATTTACTGACTGGCGTTGATTATAGTACTTTAGCAAAATTCAAATATCCTGATTCCTCTTTTGTATGCACTCTAAGCAAATGTAGACATCTTCTCTTCTACGATAGATCCAACTAATATTTTCGATGTTTATCACCTTTTTTTTGCCTGTCATTATCATTTGTATCAAATTACATAATAAAACTATGAGTGCCATTTTTCTGTATTTTCTGTTTCGATTAGAGTATCGCGTTGGAGCAGTAAATTTAAATTGATTTTTCTCTTCGCTCGCGCCGAAGTAAAGTTTTTCCGCAAGAAGTCAATTCACAGATTATTTTTGCGTCAAATAAAGGGGTTTAGGACAGTTGCTCGCTAGGACTGATGCTAGCTTGGACAGATGCTCATCGGACACTTGCTCATAGAGACTTATGAGACTGACATTCAGAGACTGCGCATAATCATACGAATTCAAACAGAGTTATCTATACAGGAAACAAAAAAGGAAAGGCCGTTTATAATGACAGTAAACGTCCGATAGCTTGTAACTGATCATAAATTGTTGGATGAGGGTTCTTCATCAAACTCTGTAAATGCTTATTTAGTGACTCATATTGTTGCTGGATTGTCGGTTCACGGCCAGATCTTGCATTCCCTATATCTGAATGTAAATTATTTTCTTCCTTTATCAGTTTATCTAAAAATGTCCATAAAGTCGTTGTTCTCTTATATTTGTCTGGAATGGATTTAAAATTTTTATCTATTGGAATTGTAGTGAGGTTATCATCTTGACGCCAACGACGAATATCTCGTTTCAAATTTGCGTTAGTAGGTAAGATTACACGAACCTCGTCGGGAACACCAATATAATTTTGTGTCAAAATATTGTGTGGATTTGTAAGGTTATGTGCAGTCCCTTATTTTAAATTCTCATAAAATTTTCTTACTGATTCTGAATGTGGATTGCCAGAATGATTTTCGTGTTATCATTTTTACCAAGTAAAAAAGACAGTCGGCCTGTCCAGCTAACGGTCACCTTCACTTAAGATGGTTCGAAAATTTTTTTTTAACTTTAAGAATTTATAAAGCACATCGTCTAACGTAGTTTTTGAAGCTGATTTCGAATATCAACTTAAAATTTCCAAAAAATTAAATTTTGACCTCAAAAAATGAAATCAAAATTTTATTTTTAATTTCCTGGCCTAGATATTTTCGCGAAAAAAATTAAGAGATATAGTATTTTGTAGAGAATTAAAGTGTATTTATTTTTGAGTTTAGGTGCTTTCCAAGAAAGTTGGTTTTTCGAAAGGCCAAGTTTTGAAACGGGTTTTTCTCCAAGTCAAAACCATTTCAGAACGTTTTTCTACAGTGCATCGGAAAGATCAGATCAGATACTGTCTACTGCTATCGGAAATATTTTTCTATGACGACTTTTGTTATGGAGTTTAACCTTCTGATTTGAAAGAACCAAAAAAAGCTGTAATTCCATAACGGACTGTTTTTTCAAATTTTTATATCATCTAGCGATTCTAATGAAAAGCCAAGTGGATATTCTGAAAGCTGGTTTCAAGCTACACAACTTTGCTTCAGAACACATCTCAAAAAAAGCTTTCATTAAGCAGAAAAATGTAAAACTTAGACATCACTGAAAAAAAAAGTCCATTTTTGGTAATTCCGTAACGGCCGTTATTTTTTTAATAACTCCCTTTGAGATGATGCAAACTCAACGAAATTTTCGGACGTGATAAAACTCGGTACTGCCTACCTCTGGTAAAAGCGTCATTACATTTAGATCATTCTCAGAAAAGTTATGGCACGTGAAAGTTGAAAAAAAGTAATTCCGTAACATTTGGACAAGCCGAGTCTAAATACGACCGAATAACGATACCATTTATCAGATAAAAATGATGTAAAAAAACCATTAATGACCAAAAATGGCCAATTAATTGGCAATTAAAGACTTATTAATGAACCATACACAAAGCCATTTTTTATCTTGTTTTCATCGTCCTGGGTAAATTTACCACCTATATATCGAAAACGGACCTATCGCAAACTCAACATCAAACAGATGTTTATCATCATCATCATCGTCAGTTAATGAATGCGTACTCATATTCTCTCACTTAATATTATTATACAAAGCAAATCGTTGTTTAGAAATTTTTTAATTAATTTGTTCAAATAATTTTCATTTTCTATCACTACTTCTTTAGAATCATTATCTTGATGAATCAATAAGCAACTTCTTTCTTTATCAACAGTTATAACAGTTGAATGTTTGAAAGATTGATAGGAAATAAGTTTGAGCCATAAATCGTTTCCTGTGAAATTATAAACTTTAATTAATTCAATTAATTCGAAATAATAACGATTTCGTTCTATCACAGCTCTTCGAATGGTTACGTCATCAAAGTAGGATAAATAATTAAAACTAACTTTAAATTCGAGACTTTTGTATTCGAGATATTTGTCAGATTTGTCGATTAAAATATTGAGTAGCTTCCCACTTACTAATTTATTTTTGTTTGGTCCTGACA